CCTACGATTTTTACGTAAACTGGGGTATAAGAAGAAGGGAGGAAAGACCTTCACTCTCTTTCCTTCTGGCGGCTTTGGAGGTGCAGATCTCCCTGTTGTTGAGTCTGTCGGCTTGGAGAGTGAGGCCTGGTAAGGCCTTGTCGACCTTGGGAGGCAGAGGCTGCCGGCAGTCACCCCAGCGTGACTCTCCATTGTCCCAAGGAGAGTAGTAAGAATATTCTTTGTTAATTCTTTTAGTTGATAGACCTTGGGCTACTGATCGGGATATATATATATGTATTGGGGACCCCTGGTGGCCTAGTGGTTAGCATGCAGGACTCTCACTGCTGCGACCCAGGTTCGATTCCCAAGTCCCCCGGGCAGATGGTAGCTCGTTAGCCCTGTGAGGCCATCCATCTATGAGAAGGTCACTCTAAACAAACCTACGTCCTGAGGACCTCACTGCCGTTGTCCAAGCTTGCTTGGCCCCAGCAGATGAACCTTAGGATTAAAGGGTGGGCTCTTCTGCAGATATCAGTTCTTGGCTTGAAGATTGGACTGCTTTTTAGCCTTGTAATCAGTGACGAGGGTTGCTTGTTTTGTGACTTCACCTGAGTTCAGCTATTTGCTGTTTTGAGTTAAGCTTTTTAATATGCTTCCTCTTTCATTCTTGTTCATAGAAGTATGTGTTGTTATCCTTTTAAATATATTTTATGCAATTTTAGAAGAAAAAGTCAGTCGTCAAGCATGAAAAACTTTGTGAATAAAACCAGTTTTGACCATCTAAATGTTCAGTGAGTGATGCTGTGCCAAGTATCCTACTTGATCACATCACTGATATGTATTCAAAGGAAGAAATTTGTTTAGATATTGAGGTATATCCCCATAGATGTCTTTACTGTTAATTCTACCAAAATGTGCACCATGTGTGATTGTTTTCAGGATCTTCAGTTAATATTACCATGCCAGTTTTTGGCTTTGTCTGATTTTTAAGAAGTTAATAATTAATTGAAGGACTTGGATGGTAGTTTAATTCTTATCTGATTTCTTTCCACATGCTTCTGCCTTCCTGTTGTAGTCCTGAAGCAACTGGGCCCAGCATGTCCTAAGTAGAAATTTCTCTGGTATAAGGAGTCCAAGTGCAGAATACCTAGTTCCCAAATATCTTCCTGCAGTGGCTGAAAAGCAGACATCAGTAGTGAGGGAAGAGAAGCAAGAGCCTACTGCATTCCGGCCTTCTAAGTGTGGTCCTTTAAATGTCCTAGTGAAGCTAACATCAATTATGACTTTGAAATAGTTGAAAAAATGGGCAATGTTAACTGATTTCCTGTCATTCCTGCACTCAATCAAAACTACACTGAGTGATGGGACAGGTGATAGATTTACATAAATAATAGCTAAGCTTTTGAAACAGACTTTTCAGAAGTTTTTCCCGACAGTATATATGGATCCCCCATGTGGTGTTCATGTGTTTCCCTAAGCATTTAGCCACTGTGTCCACTAGAGTTGACCCAGGTAAGTTACTAGCTGTCTTACTAGTACTGTGTCTCTACCATACTTAGTTTTCTATTTGAAAATCATTCCATACACAAATTAATACTGCTTCAAGTATGTGTGCTATGATCCTGACCAAAGGTACTGGAAGGCTGAGAATAATCCAGATGACTTCTTTGGTTCAGTGCCAGAGAAACAATGATTTCAAATGCTATGTTATTCCAAAGTGACTGGATATACAATAGGGGAAAAAAATCCAAACCTACATGGATTAGACCTGAATTCGTGGCCAAATTTCACTCTGACTTTGTACTGAAACTTCAGTGGTGTATAAAAGGAGTAAATCAGATCAGAATTACCTCTGAAAGGTGGTTTATGTGAGGGCCAAGCAGCAGATACATTTCTTTCAGGAAGCTGAAGTCTTAAATGGAATGAACCTTAAGGAAGGCACATTGAAGGGGAAAAGAAAAGAAAGTAACTGATCTTGCAGTTGTTGGTGAAATCCTTGCTACATTTAAGTGCCTATTATCTCTCTCCTAGGCTTTGACACTTCCTGTTTTTATGTAGAGTTTACCTCAGTTTTATTGTCTCATGCTTTTAGGTATGATTGAATGAGATGAAAGAAACAGTAAATGTGACATGCCTTGAAAGAAGAGAGAAAAATTGTTTCTGTCGTGACGACAATTTCATAATCAAAATCTAGGAAAAAATCCGCAAAACTATGTCTTAGTGTAAGTAATTTTAAAATAAAATAATATGAAATGGTAATTCCTGTAAAATTGTATACTGGAAATACCAAGATCTAATGGTCTTTGTAAAACCAAATGTTCAGCTTCCATGTTTGTTGAAAATATAAAATGCAAACTGTGTTTTCTTAAAAAAATATAACCTGAGCCATTTCTGATTAATTTTTAAAACATCCTATGCAAAAACATGCTATATAAGTATGTATAAGGAACAAAATTTCCTTTTCTGTATTATTTGTTACATGAAAGTACTTATTCTAAATTATGAACATTCAATATCTGCTTGATATTTTGTCTTTAACTTCAGTCAGCATTGAGTTTAATACATAACAAATAGTCCATTCATTTCCTTTATATTACCTGAAAACGTATACTAGAAAATGCATTTTCAGATTATGTGGGAAGATGGAAAAATAGAGGGACATAGATTAGGACAGCAAGATGTAAAGTTTCTTCCATCTTTTTGCTATAAAATATTAAGCAATTGTCAAATAGTCATCACCATGTATCCCACAAAAATTAGTACAAAGGTGAAGATGATTATTTTTCAGAAGCTGTTTCTTGCATTAAAAGCTCTTTCTATAGCATAACCTTTTGCTGCTAAAGCAATGAATATGGCAGTTTTCCCTGGCTCTTGAGTGCCCTACAGGGATCAGCCTGCAGTACTTCTTAAGCTATGATTCAGGCACCTTGGGGAAAACTTAGAGCTAGCACAGGGGTGGGAGAAAGAGTGGGGGGGAATCTCTGCAAAGAAAAAGCTTTATTCACTGGAAAAAACAGCATCAAGAGAGCACAGACAATCAATGATTATGAAATATTAACAGCATACTTCACAAACTTTGTGTTTCTCTGAAACACAACAAAGGAGTTTTATTTTTTTTGGTATAAATACTTCGCAATATAAAAGTTCTAGAATTAAAAGACCCCAACCCCATGTCACACATTTCTTTGTTTAGAGAGAAAAATTTTAAGGCCCCTCATCCAGGGTTCATAATGTTCTGAAATGTCAGACTGCTGATTTTGTTTGAGTGAACAATTTCTTTAGCCTCTGATGGCAGGGAGAAGACAAAAATACTAGGAGCTACCTTTGAACCACACCCATGGATCTGAAGGCAGCACAGTGTTTTCTTGCCACAGCATGCCATGGGACCTGAGGAATTTGAAAATTCTGCAATCCAAGTCGCTTCCCTCCGAGCATTTTGACAAAAGCACTTACAGAGTAATTTCTTATGGGAGTGTTAATAAAATATTTTTACTCTTGAAGTTCAACAAAAGTATACCGTATTTCAGAGTGTTAGCAAACGAGTTGATTTTTCTGATTAACTAAATTATTTTTGCAAAATTGACTGTGCAGCATGTAATCACAGATGTCACAAACCAGCGAGTAGGCTGGAGGTGCACAAGAAATTGTGTGGGATACAGCTGGGAGAGTTGACTCCAACTGACCAAAGGGATATTCCAGACCCTATAGCATTGTGCTCAGCAATAAAACTAGGGGGGAGGTTGGTGGGGGGACTGCTGCTCAGGAACTGGCTGGTCAGTTGGTGAATTGTTAATATTTGATTAAAAGAAGTTAAGATGCTGTCTTTAAAGCAATTCTTAAGGAACATAACTTTAAATCTACACATTTCCATCCAGACAGGATTTAATCAAAGGGTCACAGGTCCTGCTAGTAAACCTGCTCCAGCACAGGTTTCTCTCTCCACAGGTCCTGCCAGGAGCCTGCTCCAGTGCGGGCTTCTCCCAGGGTCACAGCCTCCTTTGGGCAAGTGCACTTGCTTCAGGCATATGGTCCTCCATGGGCTGCAGATGGACAACCTGGTCCTCCATGGGCTGCAGATGGACAACCTGCTTCACCATGGGCTGCAGGGGAATCTCAGCTCTGGCACCTGAAACACCTCCTCCCCCTCCTTCTTCACTGACCTTGCTGTCTGCAGAGCTGTTTCACATATTCTCACTCCTCTCTCCTGGCTGTTGTTGCCCAGCTTTTCTCCTGCTCCCTTCTTAAAAATGTTATCCCAGAGGTGCTACCACCATCACTGATTGGCTTGGCCTTGGCCAGCAGCAGGTCTTCCTTGGAGCCAGCTGGCATTGGCTCTGTTGGACATAAGGGAAGCTTCTGGTGTCTTCTCACAGAAGTCACTCCTGCAGCCTCCCCATACTTGCCACATAAACCCCCTACAGCCATAAAGCAGTTCTAGAATACAGGTCTACTTCTTAAATTCAGTAGACTACAAAGTATGTTAGGAACACAGTGTATGTGCTCAGACCCACAAACACTGGGAATTCACCAAATAAGTCTTAAATGCTCCATTATGCACTGAAAATTTTCCTAGAAGCCAGTTTTCTAACAGAGCAAAAAGGAGGATGCTCTGAAAAAAAGCAAGACCTTTTAACATTGCTTAATAGTTAATGGTCAATTTTTTTTCTTACTTTTCTGACAAAAAGCCACACCAGAAAGATCATTTTATATTTTTTATTGTATGCCAAAGTTCATTAAAGATGGGGCATTGCTTGTATACAAGTTACTCAAAATTTGTGTCTAGGCAGAGATTCATGAGATTCATTAGCAATCTGACTTATTTCAAAGCATAGGCTTGTTCAACTAGGCCACAAAAACAATACTGTGTACAAGCAATAACTGAAACAGAGCTGCAGGTTCAGGAGTTTCCAAATATTACACATCTTGACATCTCATCAGGAAATAAAAATAAAATTGAATAAAAGCAGCTTCATATAGCTTTTTCAAGTTTTAATTTTATTCAGAAACTGTCACTTAGTTCAGTTTGCCTCATTCTTTGAAGTTTCATCAAAGTTTTCAACAAGATCTAGAAAAAGAAAAATGTGAAAATTCAAGTCTGACCCACTTTGTCTTTGCAAATTCCCCCCCCAAAAAAGTTCCAGTTCACATCGAGTGGTTACATAGCAAAAAAAATAATAAAATCAGCATATAAAATACAGACCAAACATCTAAGAGCTTCATGGTTCATTCTTCTTGTTCAAACCAGTAAGTTTGAAATGGTTCATTATAAAGCACAATTCTAGGAGCATTTAACTTTACCATACCCACAACAGGGCAAAGTGATACTGAAAAGGCAGTTTCTTAGCACTCTTCTTACTGAATATTAAATAATTATCTTAGCCATAGCTATTATTCCTAAACAGGACAAAAATGCTAGCTCAAACCAGTGGTCCATCTAAGTCTCATATGGTGTCTGAAAACAATGCCCACAGATATTGTATAATAGAATCTCAGAATGTCCTGGGTTGGAAGGGACCTTAAAGCTCATCTCATTCCAACCCCCTGCTGTGGGCAGGGATCCCTTCCACTAGACCAGGTTGCTCCAAGCCCAGTCCAACCTGACCTTGAACACTTGCAGGGATGGGGCAGCCACAGCTTCTCTAGGCAACCTGTGCCAGTGCCTCACTACCCTAATTTCTTCCTAATCAAAGAATTACAGAATCATTTAGGTTGGAAAAGACTTCCAAGGTCATCGGGTCCAACCTTTGACCGAACACCACCTTGTCAACTAGACCATAGCACTAAGTGCCATGTCCAGTCATTTCCTGAACACCTCCAGGGACGGGGACTCCACCACTTCCCTGTGCAGCCTGTTCCAATGCTTAACCACTCTTTCAGTGAAGAAATTCTTCCTGATGTTCACCGTGAACCTCCCCTGGCACAGCTTGAGGCCGTTTCCTCTTGTCCTGTCACTAGTTGCCTGGGAGAAGAGGCCGACCCTCACCTCCTTTCAGGTAGCTGTAGAGAGTGACAAGGTCTCCCCTGAGCCTCCTTTTCTCCAGGTTGAGTCACCTCATCTCCTTCAGCTGCTCCTCATAGGACTTACTCTTCCAGACCTTTCCCAGCTCTGTTGCCCTTCTCTGGACACGCTCCGGCACCTCAATGTCTTTCTTGAAGTGAGGGGTCCAAAACTGGACACAGTACTCAAGGTGCGGCCTCACCAGCGCCCAGTACAGAGGGACAATAATTAATATCTAATGTATATCTACCCTCTTTCAGTTCAAAGCCATTTCCCCTTATCCTGTCACTCCATGCTCTTGTAAAAAGTCCTTCTCCAGCTCTCTTTCAGCCCCCCTTCAGGTACTGAAAGGAGTGACTAGTCAATACTCTTACCGTCCTTGGCCCAATCTTATACTGCACATATCTCTCAGCAAAATTAACTTTTCTTCCACTGCATGCTTGTTCTTACCTGGAACTTCATCATCATCATCATCACCACCAGTAGCAAGTGGTGCTTTTCCATCCACAGCTGCAAGAGCAAGTAGTTCAAAAGCATCAGTCAAGCTCACCATAAGCATCTTGATTACAAAGCTGCTTTGCTTTGTGTTTTTTGAAAATATTATCAAAGAGTCTGAGCTAAACTGCAATGCTTTATCCAGTTCCCCTGCTGAATAAAATCTACAACTAACTCTTTGTTACTAATAATGTTCAAACAGACCAGCAGAAAAATGAGAAGATTCATGCTAAACCAGTTTACTAGTCACTATCTTGGTTCTAGATATATAGAGTGCCTTGAGTGGTATGGAATGATGGATAGGGTTAAAAATTAGAGGAGACTAAAAATTACAGGATAAAATGCAGCTGCTGTTCTCTGGATGGAATGCAGTGAACATGCCTGTAGTGGGTTGACCCTGGCTGGATGCCAGGTACCCACTAAAGCCACTCTGTCACTCCCCTCTGCAACTGGACAGAGGAGAGAAAAAAAAACCCCAACTAAGGATTCATGAGTTAAGAGTTGGGAGAGGTCACTTACTGATCACCATCATGGGCAAAACAGACTCAAAGTGGGGATATTAATTGAATTTATTACTAACAGGATCAGAGCAAAAGAGTGAGAAGTAAAATAATCTTAAAAACACCTTCCCCCCACCCCTCCTTCCTTCCAAACTCCACCTCCTCCCCCCCAGCGGTGCAGGGGGACGGGGAATGGGGGTTACAGTCAGTTGTTTCTGCCGCTGATCAGGGAGAGGAGTCCTTCCCCTGCTCCCATGGGGTCCCTCCCATGGGAGACAGTCCTTCACAAACCTCTTTGACGAGTCCATCCCACAGGCAACAGTTCTTCATGAAACTGCTGCCACATGGGTCACTTCTCCATGGGGTGCAGTCCTTCATGAATGAGCTGTACCAGCGTGGGTCCCCCACAGGGGCCACAAGTCCTATCTGGGAAAAACCTGCTCCAGTGTGGGCTCCTCTCTCCACAAGCTGCAGGTCCCCGGCAGGACCCTGCTCCATCATGGGCCTCCCACGGCATCACAGCCTCCTTCAGATATCCATTTGCTCCAGTATGGCCTCCTCCATGGGCTGCACGTGGGTCTCTGCACCCTGATGGTCCTCCATGGGCTGCAGGGGGACAGCTGCTCCACCATGGTCTTCACCACAGGCTGCAGGGGCCACAGCTCCGGCACCTGGAGCACCTCCTCCCCCTCCTTCTACACTGACCTTGGTGTCTACATTGTTGTTCCCATGTTCTCACTCCGCTCCTCCCTGGCTGGAATTTTCACCTGCGCAACAACCTTCTGTTCTTAAATATGTTATCACAGAGGCGTTACTATCATTCCCAATTGGTTTGGCCTTGGCCAGCGGCAGGAAGCCCGTCCTGGAGCTGGCTGGCATTGGCTCCACCAGACAGGGGAAGCTTCTAGCAGCTTCTAACAGAAGCCACCCCTGTAGTCCCCCCCCACTACCAAAACCTAGCCACAGAAACACACTAAAATGCCCCACAAAGGTTCCCTAAACAATAATAAGCACCTGCTATGGGAGATGCAACAGAAGAGTGGAGTCGAGACGCCACGGCTTCCCTCCATAGACATCCCTGCAGGGAGGGGAACATGGTGATACTTTGTAGTTCAACGACTGTACAGTGTCTGTCCACCAAGGGAGATAGATGACAAGGATGACTACCCAATTAAGTACTTATGACTAGAGTCACTCAAGCTCCACCTAAACCTGAAGAGATAGTATAAAAGTAAGTTGGGAATAGGGGGAAATTGGAGGAAGACTCCACTGAAACTGTTGGGATCAGTCAACAGGCTGAACGTCTTCCCCCCCAGAGGGACATCTACTGGGTAAGAAACTCATTCTATGCGCACTAAATGCTGTTATTAGCACTAGAGCTTGTGCTTGTTTGTACTATTAGTACATTGCTTTAAATATGTTTTTGCAGTCAGACACTATCACCGATGACCTATAGACCTTATTAACTTGTCACAATTTGTATTAATAAAGAGTGTTATTCCATAAACTGTTAGAGTAAGTCCTTTATAAGGTGCTAGCAATTACCGGCAGTGGTTAGCTGTAGTAGGCAGCTTTGACCTTGAGCTACAGCTGTGGCCTGGCAAAGGAACAAGTAAAACATCATTAGGAAGAAAGTGTGAGAAAGAGAAGAAAAACAGCTGCAAATAGAAGTATCGAAGATGTAGCAAAGAAAAGGTCATCCAATCATGAACTGTTTGTCTTTGAGTGAACCAATTATGTATGGACACACACTCTTAAGAAAGATATAAAAAGGCTGGAAAAAACAATAAAGGAAGCTTTTTGGGCTTTTGGCTTGTGTGCACAATTCCTTGTGTGTCGTGTCCGTCTCAACAGTGACAGTTAGCCCCCCTGAAAAGGGCAGTCAAACCACGCTCTGATCGGGTGAATTTGTTTGCTGAAGAGTCCCCCTTATGGGACGCTGACAGACTGGTCGGACATAAGGGTTTTGGCTTCCCTGGGGCACTGACAGACAAATAAAACACTAGGGGTCAAGAAAATCTCCCCTAAGGCAGACTCCCCCCTTTCTCATGACATTAAAATTGGTGCAGTAAAGCAGGGTCGTCATGGATAATCTGCCGCAAAAATACAAATAAGCCCCTTCGCAGGCTGGGAAGGAGTGGGTTCAAAAGTTTCGGAAAGTTAAAGTTGTGGAATGCATTGAACAATGTCGGGCTGAGCAGAAATGTAAGGAAGGAAAGGGTAAAGGTGCAATTTGTGCAGTTTTAAGAGCCTGTGTGCCTTGTGCACAACAAGAAGCTAAAAATTCACCTGCTTCTGAACAGATTTCTGATGTTGAGTACACTGTTTTGAAATCTGAATATGAGGTGTTGAAGTCATCGTTAGCCTTTGAGAGGGAAACAGGAGAAAATTGGAAGCTCGAGTTGGTAAAATTGTTGCTGAAAATGAGCTGCTTAAAACTGAGGTTGACCACCTTAAAAGTCTGCTTGCTGCTGTGGACCACGAAAAGAAACTGCTGCTAGAAAAACAGCCTCCCACTTCAGTCAGGGAGCTTCATAAATCAGTGTCTTATCCTGACATCAAGACTTGGAAAGGGGATATTTGATGCCTTAAAACTTTTTGGATGTTTTTAGCTTTTTGTAGATTTTAGAAGTAGTTGTGTAGTAAATGTAGATTTTAATGTAGCTGTATAATCCCTTACCCTTTAGCATAGTAGTTTACAAATACCCAACCCTATTACCCCATTTCATATCAAACCCCTCTAAATTCCTTTAGCATATTTAGTCTTGTTTTCAAGGTAGAATTGTAGAAAAACACCTCTGTTTAAGAACATTGCACCCTAGGCCTGGACAACAAGATACCACAACAGACAAAAGCAACCTTCAAGCCCAGAACTTTGGAGGAGCTCCGAGGACTGTACATACTGTGAAGAAGATGAAGATGAGAAAGAAGGGGTCCCACATGCCCCCAGACCCAGTTCCTGAAGGGGCGTGTTAGGAGGCAGAACTGGGCAGAACCGGGGGGGTGGATAAATCTGGGATTGGACAGATCATATTATTAAATCACAGAACCACTTTTTGGGTGCGTGCGCATCGTGTGTATTCCTGTGGGCCTGAGGGCCTGATTACACGACCCACTCTTTTTATCTTATACACTAAATTGGTCTGGAGTTTTTTTTCTCCGCGATCTCTTTAGGTTACACTATGATTGTGATTATGATGCAACCACAGAGAACCCTAATTCTAAATCTGATGAGAGTAAGAAACTAGGAGACTCTAAAGTTGAAATTATGTTTATACAGGCTCCCGAATCCCCTAACATTAATGATAATGAACAAAAGGAAAATTATTCCTTACCCCCCTAAATTCCTTTGTGCATGAAACTGAATCCACTAAAAAAAACTCGGGGTGGACAGGAGAACCAGACCCAAAAAACAATTCAATCTGATTCAAGTGGTTGATTTGCAAAAGCATTATGGCAATAAGCCAAGCAAAATTAAAATCCAGCAAGAAGAATCCTATCAACACATACATAATAATGACACGTACATTGGGATTCCAGTTGGTTCTTGTCAGCAATTAATAAAATTTCTAATAGATACGGGACCACAATATTTAATATTAACACAGCAAAATGCTGAGAAGCTGGGATTACAACTCAGACAGCAAAGTGTTAAAATCACTGGAGTAAAGGAAGCAAGCAGTATCTGCCAAGCTGCTAAGATTAATTTATGGCCTCTAAGCAAGCAGTGGATGTTGACTACTCACTTTGCAATTAAAGATCACGATGAAAACATTTTGGGCTTTGATGTTCTGAATGGTCGAACCTAGCATCTGCCAGATTGTGATGTGTGGTCTTTTGGTTCAAATGTAGACTCCAGCCCCAAAAGAAATCGGAAGGCTGTAGTGCAGTCACTTCACACTGCACCTTGCATTCCTTGATACAAAAAATTCCTGCTGCAGAACAAAGCAACACTTTTGTAGTTGATACTAATTTGGAAAAACAATCAATATTTACTCTTGATTACCAGCACTTAAATGCCACCACAGCCCCACTAACAGCTGCAGTGACCAATATTGCAAACCTAACAGCTACAATACAAGAAGCCGTGTGCTTGGGTATTGATGGGGTAGAAAAGAGAGATATTATCACTTGCTCACACTCTGCTAATTTTCCTGTCTGGTCGGAGAAAGAGTTGAACAGACAGCTGTGGTTTACAGTTTGTTGCAGGGGACTGCATGCCAATATTGGGCTTTTAACTCCTGATGTTCTAAATTTTGTGGAACTGATAACTCAAATTCAGAAAGTATACCAGTCATGGATGTCAGCCCTGAATCCAAAAGATATGGGTTTATAGAAGAGGCATGTCTTTTGCATCCAAGGTTTTCACTTCTGGAACACAATAAAGCACAATTCATGCCTGCCCGGAAAGGAGTGCAATCACTCATAACTGCACACGTTGTGCTTGCCAAAATCTTAAAAACAGTCTCACTCCCTCTGATCGGAGGAGACCCCCCCCCCCAAAAAATTGTAGGT